CGCAATCCTGGGCTCGCAGAGTGGGCTGTGAAAAGCTCAGACTAGCAAGCGGATTCCGGGACTTAGCGAGGTTTTCAAACACGTGCTGAGACGGTTTGTGGGGTTTGGCCGAGGACTGCCTCGATGACCGGTGTATTTTACACGTCGATGCCTGGACCCCTGCGTATGCACACCGTGGCAACAACAGTCTCACGGGGAGAATCTGAGTGACGTGCGCGATCCCAGGTTTGGTGCGCACAGTCCGTTTCACATCGGCACGTCTGAGCCACAGTGAGAGCTTCGCTCATGTGAAGGTTTGTCAAAAGCAGGGATTTTTTTGGGGTATCAAAGGCGGCAACAGGGTCCACATATGTTTGTCCACTCCACATGTAAAGCCAATTTGAACAGGTTTGGATGAACACCAAGGTGTGAACGTTTGATCATTCGGTTTGGTCAGGGCAGCCTGTATTTGCAGCGAGCCCAGTGCTTGGCAAATGTATCTGCTGTGTGCCCAGCCCACCCTGTACAATAGTGACGAGTGTCAGATTGCCGGAGGAATTTCGAGCAGTTTTGCAGCATGATGGTATTTCTGAAGGCGGGATAGGTTTTGGTGCAATCGCAGTTCAGGAAATCATGATGTCCTGTACTTCATGTAACTGTTGGCATGCAACATTGTTGCGTTTGTGGCACTGTTTTTGTGGTTGGCTGTTTGACTTTTGGATCGAGATTCGAAAACCCCAGCCCATAATCACGCTCCATCGGGGCGGCATGATTGCTTTTTCTAAGTTAGCAAACTGGTTCCTGGTCGCGATAATGCTTTCAATTCTTAGGCTTCAATGCATCATTTGCTTTCAGCAAATTGCGCATGTTGTCTATTCTTCACTGTTGGGATTGGGATCATTGCCTTTCTTCTCTTTAGGAAGACCTCTTGGAACTAGGTATCGCAGGGCTCCTGTTGCTCGATGCCCTGAACGTTAGCTGTTGCACACAGCCGGGCTCCGCATGCGAAATTGGCACGTATATAGAGTGAAGCTGTTGAACGAATTGTGTGTGTATTTTTCATATTCCCGGTGGATGGGCTCAAACATCAAACACAACATCATCGGAATAGCAGCATGCATCATGCCAGGACAGCGCTCTTCCAGCCTTGGCTCAATCAAGCCCACAACTGACAAATGTGCGCAACTTGAGAAAGACAGAGCATGATCTGGCCAATTGGGCAGGAAATGAAGGCGGCATTTAGCAGTCTGGACGTCAAGGCGAGGATTCCGCTGGCTTGGGTCTACAGAAGTTGTCCTAAAGCCAGCTTGCATTACGATTCTCTTTGTTTGCACGTGTTGCTTCCAGGGGACAGGATCCCTTGACTTGCCGGAGCTGTGCAACGCGTTTTGGCGTGCCTGATGACCAAGCGAGCCCACAGATTCGCGGAAGGTGGTGAGGGATTTGGCCATGACAATTGTTCGTAAACGGTCTCACTGATGTGCTAGCGCCGAGGCTGGCATTAACCTGCCAGAGGCGCTGATTCTTCAAATAGGCCGGAACCCAACAAGGCATCAGTATCTCAGTGTCCAAGTAGTGTCCAAGTAGTGTTCATGGCGCGAGGCAAAAGCTTTGACACAGACCTGTCTGGCGGAATTGAGTTCGACGAGTTTATACAGATGACAGCCGAGTGGTGCGCCACTGCAGCATGTCGCGTTGAAGCGCGGATAGACACGATGCCTGAGGCATGAAATGTGGAAGCTGCAAGATAGGTTCAGCTCTAGCATAGCCGCAGAAGAGCCCGGTACTTAAGCTGGCAACAGGGCATGTCAACTGCGAGTAGCCAGCACTGTTTTGCTGACTGCCTAGGCGTGGAAGGGTTGAATTCATGTATGCATGAATCTGGATGGCTCACGAGTAGCTACGTGCCAGGACACACACACACACGTGTATGATCACACTGATGCTTCACACATCAGACGTCCCCCGTCGAGTGGATGATGTATGAGTTTTCGGTGCTTGCGCACCTGCACGCACCGAACACTGCTTGAAACTGGACATAGAGAGAGAGAGATATATATATATATATACATGGACATAACCTGGATACTTTGAAATCCTTGAGATTCCATTTTTGCCCAGGCTGCAGCGCCTCATGGGCACGGTGCAGGTGATTTACCAGGTGCCCTCGAGCACACGCGAGTTTGACTACCTGGGCTAGTATTTTGGCAGGTCATAAACGGCTCAATGCAGACGCTGCGACCCTTCAGCTGGCAGCCAAGTCTTCAGCTCGAGAGGAAGACTGGCATTCCAGGTAGGCTGCTTGGCGCCTCAGGCATGAATACATGCCGCTGGCTGATCGCAAAGTTTGGCACATGCCAGGCCTGCTGCAGTTGCTAACTCTACGGACCGCGCATGCCGTTCGTATCCGAACGCAGGTCTCTCCACCATACCCCTAAAGGATATGGATGATACCCGCTGCAGGAACGGTAAGGCCCCGCACAGGAGGACAAGGAGGCCCATTGTTCTGCTGTGGGGTGTTTTGAAACTGTAAAGCATTTGTCCAATTCCGCGGTTCCGTATCCTTAAAAGAAAAAAGATGAAGTCCTGTGAAGGAAATCATGTTGTTTTGCTTTGCTTTCCATGGTAGATTTGTGACCACAGCAGAAAGAAGTAAGACGTTCAGATCTTGTGGGCCTTGTGTAGAATATTATTGCTGATGGCAGAAATAGTGTTTAACGCCCGAATCGTGAAAGCCTAAAGAGCAAGGTTTTTTTTCTTGTGCATGTTCGTCGTCACAGGGTTCGTCGCTAAGAACCTGATTGAAATGTTAAAAAAGGAATCTATGCACATTCATTCAAGTCTGATTTCTGAAGGCCGGCGAGCGCTTCGCGTGTGTAGCTCAGTTTGCGACAGTCTCCAATGCAACTATGCAACTCACTTCTTGAAGGCAGCGTTTGTCCTACCAAGAGTTCCTGCACTTGGTGCAGTTTCTTAAGGCTTGGCCTCGTCTTGGATTGCAGTCAGCGTGTGTTACTTGCTTTTCTGGCCCTCCGTGTGACAAGTTATTCTTGGAGAGGCAGCTACGGTGTAAACTGCTAGCACACATCTGGCAAATCGCAAGCATCAAAAATCGGCTTGAACCATGTCAACAAAGATAGCAAGCCAGAAAGGACCCCCCCGCCCCTGTGCGCCCAACCCCCCAACCGGGTATTTGCACTCACCCATTTTCATGTATGTTGACGGGTGGGCGAAGAACAGGGTGCTTCTCTCTAAAACCTAGCATGAGCCCGCTCAGAATCTTGTGTCATGTCCAAACTTGGCAAGCCGCTAGCAGTTCATGCGAAGGAGTGCTACTTCACTTTCATCAGGTTTGACTTTGACAGGCCTGGCAGTATCTTTATGCACTCCGCTAGCTGGGCTTTCGTCAGGGTGGGTAGCCTGGGCGCGGAGCACCTCGGTGCGCCCTTGTAAAGCATAGTTGAAGCAATTGAAAAACGATCATTTGATTCACAGTCCCCCTGAGGGAAAGTATTGGCTGCTTTCGGGCTTTGTCTCAGCTCCTTCCTCAGCTTTCTTCGCGAGTGACGGCATGTGTTTGGAGACTCCTTGCCCATAGGCCCAGAAGCAGTCGACAACATACGCTTAAGCACCCACCTGAGCGCTGCCTGCAATCATCAGAATCACTTGGTCATGTCCGCTGAAGGCTATGATGTGGACCGCTCCAATCGTCTGAGTTTCGATGAGTTCCTCCAGATGTTTTTAGAGGTAACGGCCTTTGGGCGTGTGTGTGTGTGTGTGCTGTTTGTGCCAGCACTGGGGCCAAATGTGTGAACCATGTTTTGGGATGAAGGTGCAGTTGTACGACCAGTGCCGGGCGCCCAAGCAATGTGCCGAATTGCGTCATACAAGTCCATGTCAATCCATGTCAGCTTCAGGCTTCAGCAGCCGGGAGCGAAACCCCGCCATTCTCACCCCGCCGGCCAGCTCAAGACATGAAGGGTTTCCTCAGTGGTGCAGATGCTTACAGCGTTGGCCTCAGGTTGAACCCTCTCAGCCCTATCCTGGGCCAGTGCCCAAGATGCTTACTGCAATGATGTCTCAAATTGATACTATGTTGCTGCTGCTGGTCAGGTCAGACATTTGCAACTGGTGCGGGCTCTGGGCTGGCGATTGGCTCAGCAATGTCACAGCTGAGGTAGGACTTCGTTTCACCTGGCTTGCCTCGCCAAGGTAGTGTTGGATCGCTCTGCATTCTTCTCGCTGGTGGCATGGCTAGATTTGCTATGTTTGAGTGAGGTAATGCTGTGTGACGGGGCATAGTTGCAATGGAACCTAATGGCAACTTTGTCCAGAAAAGCAAGAACTGCACTTTACATGGAATATTGATATGGCCGTGTCTTCAGGTGCGCAGATCCCTAATTAGGTCAAGTGCAGAACCTGATGAAACGATAGGTGAAGCTTCGTCGGGCATGTGCGCAAGTTCCGCAGAATATGTGCCACCTGCTGCAAACTGCTGGGAACTGCACCTGCGCAGACGCACACGAGCACTCAACCATTGTATGAAAGTAAGGGTGGGTGGGAGAATTATGAAACATGTGAACGCAAGTGCAGACTGTTTGTTAAAGCATGTGCCAGGTCTTTGCTGTTCCTCGCCAATTGACGTTGGACTAGCTGAGCGTGCTGACAATGAGAGCCATGCCGTTGTCCGTGCAGGGCAGGGCTCAACACGGCTAAGTTTGGATTTCTTTCCGGACTAGCATTTATTTAGTGAACACTGCGGCGGACTCTGTATGTGGCCGGACGCTGCAAAGAACGGCACAAGTCCGACTTCGACCTGTTCAAAGTTATTCTGTCGCGCCGCTTTGCTTGCCATGCTTTTAATTTGACATGACTCAAGCAGAGTGAGTGAACGGAGCAAAAATAGAGCGCTTGCGCCTGCCATGCTAATGGAATCCGTTGGGCATATAGCAAGGTTCGCTTGGCTGAGAAATGTCAACTGCAGCTGGAGCAAGTGGAGTTTGCCACGCGTTGCCGCCGTTTAACAGCCTTACGGCGCAAGATGTAAACAGCCACAGGGCTCAACGAAGGCGGGTTCCGCTGCATTTGCACCCAGCCACTGCATTCGTTCTAGGCCTGAAGCAGCGGCGAGCATGGCGCTGGTCGCCTCACCTTCATTCTTAAAAGATGTGCAAGTCAACTGGGGCTCGATTTCCACCGTGAGCTCCTGGTTTGCAATGACTTGCCTTGAGTTGAACTGCAGGCATTGAAGGCTTGTTGTTTGGCTAGGATGTTTACAAATCAGATGGCAACAGACGCATCAGGCTCATCACATTGAATTGGAAAGGTGCTCGGGTTCTGAGGCCAAGAAGCTTCGAGGGCAATGGAGCATGTCCAAGCGAAGGCAAAGCCACCAGAGGATATGATCTCTACTGCGCAGCTTCCTGTGCCTTCGGCTTTGATGTTGGCTTGCTGCGGAGGAGTGCTTTTGCGACATTACATGACCATGTGTGCTGGCATTCATTTCAGGTCAGCTCAGTTCGGGATGCTGCAACTCGAAGCAGGATATATTTTTGCTATGGTGACAGCTGCCCCGTGCTGGCGTGCAACCGCTGACTGCACTGCTGTTTGTAAGGTAATTCTCCTGCAGGGCCCTGGCAGTGGTTCTGGGCGAGAGCTTGAGATTGCCGCTTGCCTTGCATGCAGCCTGAGCAGACGGCTGCAGCACTTGCCATGCACCCACCTTGACAAGCAGAGCCTCAGGAAGAGCTCAAGGAGATTGTGGCTGAATTGATTGCTGCTTACAGTGAGCCAGACCTGCAAAGAAAGATCAGAACTGTCTACGAGGCATACCTCAAGTTGGCCAGCCTGCTTTTGTTGTCAGCGTTAGTTCTGCCTGCCCCGGGACTGCCCCTGAACATGTGCTTCACGTCATACCGAGTCATGCCGAGTCATGTCGAATCATAATCTAAGGAAAAGCAACGGGCCATGCAGACGCAAGAGCCGATCTCCCACGACGACAACATGACCGAGCTGCGTGAGATCCTGTGGCCTTGCCAGACCGACATTGCTGAGGCCTACGGCCTGCCTGGGACGAGTGAAGGCTTGCAACGCATCCAGAACGCCGTTCAGCGGGCCATCACTGAAGGTGATGTCGAGATCAGGTGTTTGGCAGATGAGGCACTGATGCTTTTGGGCATGAGCCCACTGCAGAACATTATACAAGAGGTGAAGGCGGAGGACCGAGCACCAATCTGTTGTGTTCTATCTTACTTTTTTTCGATGGTTGTTCCAATACGCCCATGCTACGCAGGACTTCTTGAACTGCATTTACTCGGCTGCAGGGGACAGCAGCGGCATCGAAGTAGAAGAGTTCTTGCTGAATCTCAAATGCGAGACGCCGCTGGCTGCTTGGGCATGACATGCCTGAGATGCAGTCGTTAGCGCACGCAGCTCTGTGTGTGTGTGGGTGTGTGTTTGTCGGTCTTTTCGTCTTTGTTTGCGCGTGTGTTTTGTTTGTTTGTTCGTTGGTGTGCTTGATTGACTGATTGATAGTTGATGGATGGATTGATGGATTGATGGGTTGATGGGTTGATGGGTTGATGGATTGATGGATTGATTGATTGATTGATTGATTGATTCATTGATTCATTCATTCATTCATTCATTCATCCATTCATTCATTCATTCATTCATTCATTCATTCATTCATTCATTCATTCATTCATTCATTCATTCATTCATTCATTCATTCATTCATTCATTTATGTTGTTGTTACTTTGTTTGTTTGTTTGTTTGTTTGTTTGTTTGTTTGTTTGCTTGTATGTTTGTGTGTGGTTGTTTGTGTGCTTGTGTCTGTGTGTTTGATTGCTTGCTTGTTTGACTGTTTGATTGTTTGTATTTGTATTTGTTTGCCCCTTCTTCCTTTTTTCTTTTTCTCTTTCTTTTTTTTTTTTGGGGGGGGGGGGCGGAGTGGGGGGTGTGGTTGCGGTTGTTTGTGCGTTTGTGTGTGTGTGTGTGCGCGGTTGTGCGATTGTGTGCTTGTGAGTGTGTGTGTGTGTGTGTGTGTGTTTGTGTAAGTGGGTTTGTGTTTGTGTGTTTGTGTGTTTGGTTGATTGCTTCGCTGACTAATTGTTGCTTGGTTGTTTGGCCGTTTGTTTGTTTGTTTGTTTGTTTTGTTTGTTTGTTTGTTTGTTTGTGTGCGTGTTTGTTGTGTGTTTGTTTGTTTGTTCGATCGTTTGCTTTCTTGCTTTCTTGCTTTCCTGTTTGTTTGTTGGTTTGTTTGTTGGCTTGCTTGCTTGATTGTTTGCTTGTTTGCTTGTTTGCTTGTTTGGTGGTTTAGTTTGGTCTGGTTGCTTGGGTGGGTTGTTGCTTGTTTGGTTGTTTGCTTGCAGGTTTGTTTGCTTGCTTGTTTCGTTGTGTTTTTGGGTCGCTTGTTTGCACACCAGGGTTCCTGCGGTAAGAGCCAGCAGGTTGCTCAGATCGATGCCTTTATCGTGTGTCGTGTTGTTTTGCTTGAGCCGGCTTGCGCAAAAGTTCAT